CTATTGTTATTTGCTATGAACAGTGTGCAGGCGATTATCACGTCTATCTGAATTATATAAATAGAACAATTCGTAGCACTTATAGCTAGAAGAAAATTAATAGTTTTTATCAAAAAGAACATATTTATTTAGAGAGTAACTAATAGTCAACCATATTGATCTATATCAGCTTTATACATACATATACACTTCGCGTCATCAGGTTAGCGCCCCCCCTTACACTCATTTTCTTTTACGTTTTTCTCTTTGTCTATTGCACGTAACTTCTTGGTTTTTTTTTTTATTTCATTATCATCATATGAGATGTCTCTCATACCAAAAAAAAGCGCGAGTAAAAACCCGTTATGTTTTATTTTCTATTCTGCTCTATTTTCGCAAAAAATGTGTGCACTTATTTTGCGTCATCAGATTAGCGCCCCCAAATGCAATTGTAATTATCTTGCTTATTTTGGCAATTACACTCACCAAATTTTTTGTGAAGCTCAAAGTATTCAATATATTTATAGTATGGGTAAAGAAACAGTTTTATCTTTGGTTGAAAATCAAAGATTGAGGCATACTTTGAATCTAGACTATGCAACCATAAAATTGCTGAAAAATCAGGAAAAAACACAAAACTAAGTGGCAATTTTCTTACAAATAGGGAAAACTATGGAAAAAACTATATAAGCGGCAATAATCAAGTGATTTCAGAAGGAAATAGAAGAGCATTAGTTCGAGAAGCTTCGAATTCCCACGAATCGACCACCAAGATTAGGGTTAAAATCAGTGTTAAGCTTATCAACGAGCTTATCAACGGTCTAAAGAGCAATTAAGAAAGTTAATTACTTAAAGAAACAGAATGTAAAAAAAAAGTCACCAGTCGATATGCTGAGAAAAGAAATACGCATTAATTTTGGCCGGGCGAACATGACGTGGCCTATCCAATGGCAGCATGTTGGCTTTTCTGATAATAAAAATTGAATTTGGAAGGAACTGATGGCTATAATTATTATATCCATGACCTACTCATAGAAGAACATTATTTGGAACGGTTTCCAAGCCGCTGCGGCGGGGGGGTGGTGTGGCATTTGTGTAGGTATCAATATCTTACTACAGCACTTGCAAGCTTCAATTTTTGACATCGCGCATGAACGCATAGGACCATAATATCGTGTTTAAAACTGCTGTTCTGCATTTCTATAATCTGTCTGAAAACCGGCATTAGATTTTCTAGCATGATAATGCCCCAATTTAGACCGCCCGATCCCTGAAGTCCTAGATTCAGGGCCAAAAAATTGATCTCATGTAGTGGCCACCATACTCACTCGACCTTAATATCATTGGAAATGTCTGGGGATGGTTGGTCAGGAAAGTATATGAGTCCGGAAAGCATTATAGTACAAAGACAGAGTTAATCGAAGGTACTGAACACGCTTAGTCAACCATATCCTTGAATAATATTGAACAACTTTATAATTCCATTTCTAATCGAATTTTTTAAGTAATTTCAAACAAAACACGGCACTATGCACTACTAATATTACTTAAAAATAACAATAGCTTAAAATACAGGTGTTATTTTTGGTCATTAGCTTAAATAAATTGAATTTAATGCAGGGGGCGCTAATCTGATGACCAAATTTTTGTTACATATTTTTTGTACATTTTACAAAAAAAATTATTAAAAAATAATCCTTATTGTTACAGTAGCCATTCTTTTTGTATTTTAAAGAGAAATAAATGGAGTATAATGTAAAAAAATTTCAAAGATGGAGCTCTGCTGGTTTAGATTTTATTTAGCTTTGAGCTTGAGTGTAAAGGGGGGCGCTAACCTGATGACGCGCAGTGTATATATAGTTTTTTTTATTATATGTATATCATATAAGGTATAAAAAGTTTTTTTTTCCCTATTTATACTCATAAATAAACTAAATTTTAAATTTTCCTTCTCAGATTTTTAAGCTCAATTATTGTATCATCGTAGTATATTATATAATAAACTATAGTATTGTATAGTATAGTATAGTATGGTATAGTTTAGTATAGTAGTATAGTATAGTAAGGTATAATATATCATATGACATGATATAGAAAATCCAATTATATATAGAACGTAACATTAATACACATAGAATCCTTAAAGATTTCCAATCACAAAGATTCACAATGACAACTATATATATGTAATATAATGTACATTTACAGGGTATCAATGAGTCCAAATAAATCGCATAACATATATATTTGTACATAACGTAATTGCTGTTGTAGTACATCGATTTACGCCATTAAACACAGTCCAATCGACAATCGTTCGCTATTTACGATTTATGATTGTCGGCTGTGACTTGCATTTGCAATTGCAATAATTTATTAAAAAGCCCATCAATTAGGCACAATATAACGGCGTACAACAAATGAATTCAACGCCGAATGAAAAAGCTATTTATTTTTGCTTAAAAAATGGCAAGTCAGACAGCGAGCTGAAGGCCAAGAAGGGAGAGGGGCAGGCAGGGGCAGAGGCAGAAGCACAGGCTGTTGGTTAAATGTTGGCCATGCAGCATCCACAGTATGACCAAAAAAGGGAAATTGCTCTATAATACTTAGACCCCAAGGCAGATCTCTTAGTATGTGTGTATTAGCGTGCTGTGTGTGTGTGTGTATGTGTGAGCGTTTGTCTGATAATTTGAAAAAGTAAAGTCAAAGTCAAGCAACAAATGCTGATGATGTATGTCCTGACTGGCTGCGCTCTATGCCATAAATATGATGCGATATATATATAGCATATATATACGTATGTATATCGATGATTAAGGAGTTGTCATATGCTAACCACAACAATGGCAACAAAGAGACCGAGCGACAACAATAGAAGCCTTTTGTATCTGTCGCTGTATTTGTGTCCATGTGAGATGTCCTTGTGCTTGCGAGAAGCTGTATCACAGTGGCAGTCAGTGCACCGAGAGAAAATAATGCATATTTTCACAGGCATCTTAAGAAGTTGTGTGAAACGGCAAGATGGATTGTGGCATAGATAGATAATCGAAGAGGCCATATTTATAAAGAGATGGATAGCAAGATAGATAGAGATGAAATGAATCTTCTGTAACTCAAAAGAAAGAGATGGTTAGATATAAAAAAAAATAGATTGATTAGATATTATATAGAGATAGATCTGAGAAGTAGAATGGTGTTCAAATTGAGATATATAAAAAGGAAGGAAGGAAGGAAGATGGAAATTCTAATAGAGGAAAACACTCAATTTACGTGAATATATCTAAGATTTAAAGAGGTATCCATTTATATAGACATGATTACAAGTAATGAAAGAAACACATGAACGTAGAGCCAACAAAATTGGATATAGATGGGTAGAGAGAGACATAGAGAGCGAAAAGAGAAAGAAAAAGAGAAAGAGAGAGAGGGAGAGTGGGTGTATGCAGTACATAACCTAAAAATCAACATAATTTCACAATATTCTTGTTGCATTTATTTAAAGCTATATATATGCATATTTGTTTATCAACACAAGCCTGCAGGCTACAAATTCGTTTATCTGATTAAAAAAAAAACACCCATTTATAATTATAAGTAAACATTAAAAAAAGGGTTCAAAAGGGGCTTCCTTCTATGTTTTCTTACATCTTTGAACAGAAAAATCAAAGATAAATTCAATTTCTTACTAATAATCTGTTTAATCTGACAAATCGAAGTGAATAAAATATTTATTTAAAATCAATAAGATTTGCCTACATCTCTATCTAGGGCAACCCCAAGTAAATTTTGTATTCCCTTTGGAAGCAAAATGCCTTTGACATGTGATAGCTTAGCTATTTATATTCCCTTAAGGCAATTCCCATTAAAAGCGTTTAATTTACTTGGCATTTGCCGCTTGATTAACAATTTAGACAGTTGCGTTCAGGTGTAGTCGTGCCAAAATACCTGTGATTTAAGCACAACTTTCCCGGGAAAGGAAAATCTTTCTGGCCCAGTCGTGCCGCCAGCCAGGCAGCTAACAAAATTCGCATGCCAATGCCACGCAGATTTGTATTATTTATGCTGCCGACACAATATGCTGCCATATGTGCGTATATGTATGTATAATATGTGTATACTCTATATACTATATATGTATGTATGTATATAGACACATACAGGCGATATGCGGCCAGCAGTGCAGATGCCGCGTTCCCAGCAGAAAAACCAAAAATACACATTCGACCCGCACACAATAAACATTTTCGGTGTTGCGCTAAGGATAATGAGCAGGTCCTGTGCACAGATTTATGCGAAACTTTAAAATACATTTCCATTGACAGGCGAGGCAAACGCAAAAGGAAGAACGCAAGAAAGTAAGCCCCAAAAAGGGATGGCCGACAAATTCAAACGGATGTTTATAAAGCAGAAAATGAGACGTCAGCCAAGTCGCATACAATTATCTCAACAGAGTAGAAACTCATATATATGTGCATATATGTACATAACATACATATATGTACATACATATACACTCATACATACATATACAACAATGTATTGCCACAAAAGTTTTCCAACAGCTTCTAGGCAACGTTGTGCTCGGCGAGTCTGAAGTTTTTCAACTTTGATTTCAACTTTTTTTATATTTGATTCTGTGTTACACATACGCCCCGTTGGCCTCTTGTATTCTCGGTATTACACATACGACCTGTTTTGGCCTGCATGGCCAGACGTCGCTTATGCGAAAGCATGCCCTAAGCTGTGGCAAGCACAGGCTTGCAGCTTGTGGCACGGATTAAAGGCCAAGCACACATCTGATAGCCATTGAATGCAAAAATCAGTTTAGACCGTAGATAAAAACTTGGCCGAGTTTGTTGGCAACAGCTGCCTGTGATGGATTTATTAGACAATTGTTGCGTATTATATCCGCTTCATATATTTCATATACATACACAAATATATATATATATAGAGTGTGCTCTGATTGACATGGTAAACAGTATAGAATAAATAAATATTTTATTCGCATAAATACTTACATTTGTTGTTTTATTGACTTTTTATCGACTGTTGTTGACGTAATAAAATATCGCTTTTGTTTTAAGGCCTTTCTTTTAATGCTCCAGATGAAAAAAATCACCTTATTTATGTTTATGCATATGTTGATATTTCTATATATTTGTTTTTATATTTATTTCCAGCTATAATCGTTGTACATTGGAGTTTCGATTGTAGTCAAACTATGTTATAATAACTGTTATTATTCATATTGCGAATTATTAGGCGTGATAATATAAGAAATGTTTAATTTTTAATTATATTTGAAGTATTTTACTATATTCATAGAAAGGATTAAAGAACACTATTGTTAGATCGTTTAGTTTTGTATAACATTTTTAATATTTGATAATTAAAAGCAGAATGTGTTTAGTATTATATATAATATATGAAATATGTTAAATTTCAATCATTATAGTTTGATCAATTTTTTCACTTTATTTTTAAAATATTATTTCTTTGTTATTATTATTAAGCACCCTTTTTAAATTTTAATTAATAATCTTAAATGATATCAAATCTATCATATTATTACCAAAGGAATTTATTACAATTTATATTATATGTTATCTCAATGTTATATATACATATATATAACTTTTAATAATAACTTTTATATAATTTATTTCAGTATTATCTGCTTTATTTTTTAGCAATTACACTTTCATTTATTTATAACATTTTCTTTATATTCTCGATATTTATTTTGCAGCTGCTTCTTTTCACACACTTCCGAAACACTTAATTAAACGTTGTTCAACACTTGCTTGCAGCTTTATTTTTTAGGCAGCAGTCTATTTCGTGAAGCTAATTTAGACTGACAATCCAAAATATACAAAAGAGTAAACGCATTTCTCTGGAATTTTTCGGGTCCCTTGGGAATTCTCTAGAGCGTTTTGAATGGTGGTTTCTCGGTATATGTATGTAAAAATGTGTGTGTATTTATATATATTTCTTATAACGTTTCCATAAACACCTCCTCAATGCGTATTCACTTCAAAGCACAACAAATTGTTTTTATTTCTTTTGCGCACTCATGTGTGCACAATATATACAACATGTACCGAATATATACATATATAGTATATCTTTATATATATGTATGTCTGCCTAAATACGTAGCATATAAAGCTTGTATATACGATACGAGTCATTTGTTCATTTGCACGGCAATGTTTCACTTCTTTTTTGTTGGTTACATAGAAAATGTTGCCAGCAATTTGCTGACAATTAATTGTGCATTAATTTTAATTAGGTAAATATTTCATCCTCTTTGCGGGCAACGTCATAGACCAAGGCGTCGGAAATGGGATTTTTTGTGATTTTTCTGCTGAACACAGCAGGAAAAACAACTCGCCAGACCAGCAGACATTTCAATTAGCAGCCAGGCCATTTCTTTTTTTGGTTTTACTACATATGTACATTCGCAGTATATAAATCATAGAGCAGCTCATAGACAAGGGCTTTAACCCTGGGCTTACGGTGTGGCGGGGTGTGCTGCGTGGGTATTGAACATTTGGGCGACCAATATAACAGAAATTGAGTTAGAGGCCTGCAAAAGCAATTGCCAGCTAGTCGGAGTGAAAGTTTATAGATTTTTATGCAAGACTTGACATATATACAGGAGTGTATGTGTGTACAGTGAAAGCTCGCTAAAGTGAACGTGTTGGACAGAAATAATTAACAAATTTTAAGGGAAATTTATTCTTTGCAAGTCAAAGTGTAGAATCTTTATTTCATATTTAATGTAAGGTATTACAATTGAATATTGTATATTGTATTCCAAAGAATATACACTGTAGAATCATTGCATTCAAATTTTTACTACAGATTCTTTCCTACACATCCTATTCTGTAGAAGACTTAATCTAAAATCCTATTTAAATCAACTCTATAGAATTCCTATTATGAAATGTTTATTGTATTAACTCTGGTTTCGAAGCTTTACTGTAAAGTCAATGTTAGTTTAGCTTTTGTACAAATAAAAAACTGTTCTAAAGCAAATTTTATGCAGAACGAAAAAAAATAACTCAGTTCGATAAAGCCAGCAAAAAAGATAAAAAAAAACTGAAAAGAAGAACGTTTGGCTCAAAAAGAAGCTAGCAAAGATTCGAGTACATGCAGACACTCAGACATACATATATACATGTATATAAATTTATATATATATCTATAGATTTATGTGTATGGGAGAGCTGCCAATACTCAGCACACTGAGCAACAACGGCAATTTACACTCATAATTTATCTGTGCAGAGCTGTGAGAGGTTTCACAAAAATTTTGACATACTTCAAGGCGTCGCACACGCACACACAGACACGCACACACGCACGCACACACATGCACGCCGAGTGAGCGAGGCGTGTTGCCACACAAATTGAAATTCTGGCAGCGGCAACAGCTTCAACTTGTTGACGACGTCGGAAGCAGCCGCAAGTAGTGGGCGTCAAATGCTGGGACGCGAATATAGCAGCAGCAGTAGCAGAGGCAGAGGCAGCAGCAGAAGCCGTAGCAAAAGCAGCAACAGAGGCGCCAGTAGGAGATGAAAAAAATCAGAAGGCGCTGCTGGTGGATTCAACAATTTGTTGAATGTACATATAGTCGCTAACACACACACACACACACGAGCATTGCTATATGTGTATTACAAGAAAGCACACAGAAAAAAAGTAAAAGTATGTGTTGGACTTTTTTCGCTTTATGTAAAAACGAAACGAAACGAAATACACACACACACACACACACACACACAGATGTGCACGTCAAGTGCTGGGCAAACGGTTTGCGGCAAGTTTTTTACGTGTATGTGCGCCTGTGTGTTTGTGTGCTTGTGCAAGAAAGAGAGAGCGAATGTAACAGCAGCCGGAACGACAGGCTCCAAAATGTAGCTCCGAATCCAGCGTTAAAGAGCAAATAAATGGCTCGAAACAAAAAAAAAACAACAAAAACGAAAACGAAAAAGATAAAGCAAAAGTGAACACACAGACAGTTAACAGTTAGGCAGCGCAGCAGCCGCAGCAACAATACCAGCAAAATGTGCGTAAAAACTTTAGTTATGTGTGTGTGTGTAGCTACGACTCCATATTATTTTAAAATTAAATTTCAAGAATTGTTTATGTTGACTTTTGCTAGCCAATGTTGCTGTTTAACTTAAAGTTAAAATAATATTTGCTTTTAATTTGTTTATATTAATGCATATATGCAACTCGTTGCCTTGTTTTGTTATTATTTTAAATTAAATTCAAACAGCGTAAACAAATGCTCTTTTAGTACGCTGTTTTATTTAACTCTGAAATTTTGTGTTTCACTTGCACTTTTTTGTTTATATGTATATATTTATTTATACTTTTTTTTGTATATTTATGTTATACCACTAGCAATCTTGTTGTTTTTCTTTTGTAGGCTGTTGAATTTTTTATGAAGTCGCAACGTACACACACGTACAAGTAGACACACACACACTGAAATTCGCTCCGCTCACTTACTAGGATGAGGAGAGGACGAGGAGCCGAAGGAGGGGCGACCCGCGCAGTTTTCGACCGTTCTCTGCTTGCGTAGGTATGCGTATAAGTCTGTCTGTGCGTTTGTTTGTTTGTTGTATCATATAAATTCACCAAGGTGTACGTGTCCCCCAAAGATGTGAACAGATCGACGTCTCGGCCACTACTGACAGCGAAGGCGCTGCTGCCAGCTAGAATAGAGCAGCAGCCTTTCTGTCCTCAGTTTACAGTGCTCTGTTAATGTAACGTTACATGATAGGGCCACTCATCGCACTCAATACGGGCAATAGGTCAGTGTTAACAGTGGGTGGGAGAGCGGCGCTGTCCTGGCACTGTTACTGCTGCTGTTGTGGGGACGCTCGCTCGCAACCTGTTAACTTTCTTACCGCTGATGTCGGGCTGCTTATATCAGATCTTCTTTTTGCTTTTGACTTTTTTTTTCTTATTCAATCTGGCTAGCCTTAGTCTGTTATTTATGCGATACTGTTGCATGTTTTAGTCCAAGCATCTGTTTTCTATCAAAAACTTTGTTGTGAACATTTACGAAGACCTAGTGTGTGTGTGTGTGTGTATGTGTGCATGTGCGTTTGAGCTTGTGTCCCTGTAGGTGTATAGCCATATGAGTACGTCGGATTGGAAGCGTTTTATGGCACTGCTTCCGTTAGCCAAGCGGAAAAATGTTTACTACGAAGCAACACAACGAGAGCAATATGCAAAATGGCCCTTTTATGTGTGTGTGTATGTGTGTGTGTAGTGTGTCTGTTTGTTCTGCTTACCTTCTTTTACTTGTTGTTGCTTGTGCCATGTGCGATGATAGTCGGCACTCGTGCATGGACTAACGGTAATGCGGCTATTTCTTTTCTCTCATTTTTTTATGCGTATTATTTAAAATAACTGTATGGAAATTTTCAGCACAAGCTTCAAGCACGAAGTCAGTAAAAGCTCGCTTGGGCGGATGGCATATTAAATAGTCGCTAGGATTAGCCAAATAATGAGAACATTTTTTATGAATTCTATTTTAAGTTTTATATTCGGAAAAGCTGCTGAACCAAACACGACAAAAAACGGTGTGGGCATGATTGCTTTTTAAATATGCTAAAAAAGAAAGTGAAGCTATATAAAATATGATCCAAGTTTAGCACAGGCTTTACTCTACATATACATATGTATATGTATACGCATACATACAGATTTATATGCATAGATGTGTATGCAAATGCTGCACAAAGCAGCATCTGCCCTATATGCATAACGGTATATAGATTGTTTGTGTGTGAGGGAACGAGAGGAAGCTACGCAGGCTGTCACTCCAACAAAGTCAATTAAGTTAACCGAAAGCAAAGATTCAAAAAGCAAAAAAAAAAGAAACAGCCGCATCAGCAGTAGACGCAGCTGCTCAAAAAAGGAAATACTTTCACCAGGACGACCCAGACGTGAGCAGCACAGCAGTAGCAGTAGCAGTTACAGTTATTCATGTTGGTGTTCTTGTTGTTGTTGTTATTGTCGTCGTCGTAATTGTAACGCGCCGCGGCGTGCGTAAAACACACACAAACACAGCTACAGCAACAACAGCAACCGCAACAACAACAACAACAACAGCATCAAGAGCAAGAATAACTGTAACCCACACACTTTGCTAATGGAGCTGTGTGCTTACGTTTATGTTGTTGCCACAGCCACAAAGGGAATACACATGTTCATACACCTCATGCTCACACACATATATATATATACATATGTACACACGCACACACAGAGGATGAGCTGTTGCTGCGAAACACGCGCCACTTTGATTAGCCTTACACTTGATGCGTTTTGTTTAGCATTTCAATTTACATTCCCGTAGACAGGCGAACAAATCAATTGTATATTCCACGTTTATTTCATGCTTATCGCTTATATCCAAACTGATTTTGTCTGAAACACGAACAGCGAATTAACTATTTATTGGCCGAGCAACAGCTGAGCGCAGCCGAAAGCCTGCGCGCGTGTTCAAAGTACGGCATCAACTGTTTGGTTCCCACGCTCAATGCGACAAACTCAGCAGAAGCAGCGACAGTCAGCAGCAGCAGCAAAATTAACAGAGAAGAGAGCCTTGAATGTTCGTTAACAGCGAGCCAAAGTTGGCCAATAGGTCAGTTACACTGCAGCTGCAGCAGCTTTGCCGCAGCGCAGAAAACTCAATGTTAAAAATTAATTTTCATTAACAGACAGTGAGCAAAAATTATGGAATACTTTAAGCCTACCGGCTACCAAATACCCTACATTTACAAAACATTTTTGTTTGCTGTAAATATTCCAAGACGTTTGAATATTTATTGAACACAACTTTCATTTCTTTTGTGTAGATGTTGGTTACGATGCAGCCACATTTGTACAGCGATTCATAAGGATATAAACTATAGATAAAGCTAAGACACTTAACGACGATCGGTTTTGCCTGTGCCACGTTTGCCGGAATACAAATGCTTTGGCATTTTGGTGCCAATGAAACGATCCGCCTCGCCCTTGAGACCCATCCGCGTCACCTTCTTCGCAATGTCGCGCTTGGCCATGATCTGGGCCTTCTTCCTGATGGCCACATCCTTGATGCCAAGCGTATCACGAGTCGGCTTACGCTTCAGTGGCTGGCCTGTCTTCTTTACAACCGCAGAGGACTCCTTGTCAAGCAGAGGTTGCTTGGGTGTCGTCTTGCTGCCAACAGCGACAACGCTGCGTCGTAGATCCATAACGGACTTCGTGTAATTGGCCTGCTCATTGCCAGACATATCCACACCCAGTCCTTCCATGGTCTCCACGAGTTTCTTGACGGAACGATCACGCACCTTGGGCTGTTTGTGACGCGGAATGACGGGCTTGTTCTTTCTGGATGACAGACGCTTCTCGTCGCGCAATTCGAAACGTTTCCCACGGATTTGTTTGGCCATTTCGCGAATCTCTTTGAGTGTTTCGTCCATGGACATATCGGGCACTGCGTAAACGCCACCAGCCTCTCGGAGACCCTCCTCGCGTTCCAGTTCCTCCAGCTTCTCGAAGATATCGGCATCGATGTAGTCCGCAATATTGCGACCTTCCCAGAATTCGGGTATCACATCGTAACGTTCCTCCTCTGCGATTTCCTGGTAGTTCTTCTTCAGATCCAGAGTGTAATCGTCGCCCATTTCCTCTTCAATCTCCTTCTCCAGTTTGCGTTTGCGCTCAGCCTTCATAGCGTTCTTCTCGAGACGAGCCAACGCCTGCTCTGGTATACAAGGAGCTCGAACCTTGTCATCACGAGGAGCAGGCATAGCCACATGCAAACGGTTCAGTATGTTGTCCACCTTCTTGGTGCGCATCTTCTGATCCACACGATAGGAGAGCAGACGCTCACATGCTTCGTTCTTTACCTCCACCACGCCCGTCTCCTGCACCGTGGACATAAACATAACCGGAACCTGTTTATCCTCCTGCAGTTTTGTGATTATCGCTTGCCGCTCCTCTGGCAGATCCTCGAGCTGCAGTATGTCGATCTTGTTGATGGCCAAGATGAGCGGTTTGTTTGTGAACAAAGGTTTAATGCTCTCAAAGAGAGCCACTTGCTCCTCCAAGGAGTGACCACATTGCTCCGATATATCCATGAAGTACAAGACACAGGCACGCAAATGAGCCAATGCAGTAATTGCCTGCATTTCAATGACATTGCGCTCTTCCAGCGGATGATCCAGAATGCCGGGAGTGTCAATCACCTGCCAGCGCAGATATTTGTAATCTGTGTGACCCACATACAAGGATTTTGTGGTGAAGGCATACGGCTGCACCTCGACGTCGGCGCGAGTGATTTTGTTAATGAACGAAGATTTGCCCACGTTAGGGAAGCCGCAAATGATGATTGTACGCGAATACGGATCAATGGTAGGCAAACGAGACAAATGCTGACGCACCTGCTCGAGGTATGTCAAGTTGGAAGCCTGACGCTTCATAATGGTGGCCATGCGACCCAGGGCGGCCTTCTTCAGCTGCTTGCATCGGTACAAAGAGTCACCGTATTTAAGCAGGCGCACATAGTCCTTGGCCACACTAGAAATATAAATAATATATATTAGCATTGCTTTTACAGGGCATTCTCATTCACTTACTTGTCGATCAAATGCCGGGCTGTGTTGAGCTGACCCAGCGCCAGTTTGTAATGATCCTTGTCGTACAGCACATTCATTAAATCTGCATAGAATGGATGCACATCGTCAAGCTTGGGGAAATCCTGTATTATCTGCGAGAGACGATCGTGGAAATTCTGTTGCGTGTATTTAACCTTGCGCGTGTAGAATGCGCGAATACGCGAGATTTTATAGCCCTTGTGCACGACTGTGGGTGTCTTGCGCTGTGTCTTCGACAGCATAATGTCGATGAAGTCCTGCAAAGTACATACAAATACAAATACATATAAATAAATTGCATATTGCGCATTTTGTAAACATTAGATGTGAGGTTAGGTTGCATGCACTGTATGCGCTGGGTGCTCCGACAGGCGTAAACTAATAAAAATGCTTACCTTTGCTGGCGGCACCACCATGATCTTTTTAAAGTTGTACAAACTCATTTTTGTGGCTATTTATTTATTTTCCACGGCAAAAAAAGGAAAATAAAAGAGGAATCGCTAGCATAAACACCACGCGGTGTTCGCAACAAATTCCAAAAAGAGCTGATGTAGAGTTTAGAGATGGTAACTCAAAACGATAGGCCTAAAAAACATCGGAAACATCCAGAATATTCGGAATGGTTGGCAACATGACAGCTTCTTTATCGAATAAGATATCGATGCTGAATTTTTTTATCTTTATTGACGTATTAAGAATAATTGAGCTTAAAATGTTAGAAATCTTACAAAACTGATTATTAAGGAATAATTAAAAAGAAACACATAACTTCTGTGTGATATACGATTGGTCATAAGTATGAATGCTGCAATATAATCGCAGTATTGTAAATATTGATGTTGTAATGTTACTCTCTTCTAGAAACGAATGTAAATAAACTCTTCAAAATCGAATTAGACAAAATGTTGGATAATGCGCGTGCAAAGGGGTACAAATGTGAACAGTGCAACTATACAACCAATCGCTCCTTCGACCTGCGACGCCATCAACAACGCCACGAACGAGTGAAACCCTTAGATGGAGTTACATTTAAATGCACTGAATGCCAATTGGTGACCAAATGGAAACGAAACATGGGACGCCACATGGAGAAGCATAAAAGAAACGCAGCAATACAAATGGAAGAGGGTGGGGAGGAAGAGCAGAGTCAACAGCTGGACGAGGATCAGGCTATAGAGGAGTATATAGTGGAAGTAATTGAAGCAGAGGAAGACGAATACGAAGAAGAGCTAAAGGGAGCTGTAGAGCAACTAAACACAAATGTAATCTTAGAGCTGCCTCAGGAGGAGACTCATCAGGCACCGCCAAGCAAATCCCAGAAGCGTTTCAAGTGCGAGCTCTGCCGCTACACATCGAATAGAGCCTTCGATTTGCGTCGGCATAAACAAACGCATTTTAGAGTGAAAGTTGTGGATGGGATGGCCTATAAATGCTCCGAATGCAATTTCCTGACCAAGTGGAAACGGAATATGAGGCGGCATATGCGGAAACACGAGGATCCCGACGAAGATGTTCAAATCAAGGAAGTCAAAGAGGAAGTGTGCGAAGAAACGCACGAGGAAACCATTGAAACATTCTGTGAGCCGGTATATGAACCACAACAAGTCAAGGATGAACCTTCGTCCGAGGAGTATATCGTAGAGCTTATAAATGCAGAGCTACTGAATTCAGATTTGGATATGGCCACAATATATCCAGCTCCGTCGGAATGCTCCGAGACGCAGGAAGGTTCCGAGGCGCAGTCGCAGGAAGAAGTGCCGGAGAAACGCTTTAAATGCAATCAATGTGAATATGAATCAAAGCGCGCTTACGACTTACGAAGGCATTCGCAAGTCCACAAGAAGATTAAACCCATTCAAGGCATTGCTTATCAATGTAATGAATGCTCCTTTATAACCAAATGGAAGCGGAATATGCGAAGGCATATGGAGAAACATAAACCCAATCCCGTCGTGGAAGCTGCGGCAGATGAGCAATTTATTATGGAACTGAAATCAAATGCACAAATGGATAAAAGAAAGATTAAGCTGGAGGACGATCCCGAGGTACTGCCATCATATTGGATTGCTCTACCATCAACATAGAGCGGATCGATCCTACAGCCAGAAACTGTAAAAGTTTATTTGTATATATGTGTAGAAACAATAATTATAGGAAATTATATTTAAATAGGAGTATTTTATTGTATCTGTATATTTCTGTCAATAAAAATGTTTAAAAATAGCTGGGATATTAAATCAAAATATATCAATTGCATTTCATTAATCAAATTCCTAGATGCAGTGGAGTGGGAACATTTAAAAATAGCATGTTTGAAAATTTGTATATCAAAAGATGTCGAAATGTAGATTAAGAAACCACTCAAGTTAATATATAAAAAAATATGCAATTAATTTAATTTTAATTATATAAGAACAATCACTTTGTCATACATCGATACATCGCATACGAAATGAATTATCGATGTAACATACATATAAATCGCTGTGACAAAAATCGATACACGGATGTTACATACATCACTAGTTTCGATACATTTTTTACATAGACAACCACACGGAATTGTTGCTTAAATTTTACTTAAATTTAAAAACAAATTCCTACGTCCTTGCACAATATATTAACGCAGCGACAAATACAAATAGTTCTATTGAAATGGCCGACGACTGGGGTAAGTGCACGTGGATGCGTCATCAAACGTAAAACGTGGGCGCTGCGCATGTGGCGCCCCCTAACCCATCCGCTTCCTCCCACTCCCTTCACTTAAGGAACGCATTTGTGACAAGAAAGGAGACATGCATCCAACCTTGATATTTATATATATTTATAGCAATTGAAATGACATGTACTTATGTGTATATGTTTTTATGCTTATGTATGTAATAATAAAATTATAAATTTTATTAATTGGCAGAATCCGCCGCCGACAGTGAAATTGTCATACGACCGAATGCAGCTAACAACATAAACAAGTGGGAGGGCGAGGACGACGACGAAGATGTTAAGGTAAATATAGTGTAAAAGCGCATATACCATATTGTTAACAAATCAACCCAATTGTTGCTGCTGTGTTGCTCAGCAACCTTTGTTGCTGACAGTGGTGGGCAGAGATTAAAGCGTGACACGAAAGAGCACGACGTCACCAACAAGATTCGTTAACATATACTCCACACATTTGTATAAATGTACAATATTGTACCTTCTAGTAGAATGAAGAATGAAGAAATGAAATGAGCTATTAAATATAAAGTTTTTTATATATTAGTAAACATAGACATAAAAAGAACTGTATATTGCATATCAAAACACGTATATTGATATCGTGCTGATACGACTTAGTATTCGTGTCGTATCGTAAATAATCCAACACGCATTCATCTCTAATCTAAACTAGTTATTTTTAGCTCTTTTGTTAAAACGATTTCACTTTCAAATTGTTGTACACGTGTGCACGTTAAAAATGCACTATTCATGTTGATAAATAAACTAACTAACTAACCTGTTTTCAATATTCAGGAAAGCTGGGAGGATGAAGAGGAAAAGAAAGATGAGGAGAAGCCAACGAAAACAGAAGCGCCAGTCAAAACTAAACCCAATAAGGCGCTAAAAGCGAAATTGGAGGAGCAGGAGGTAAGTTTGTAAACATATAAAATATATTTAAATAAATAAATATACATTTAAATTAATAGCGCCTTAAAGAAGAAGAGGAACAGAAGCGTTTAGCTGAGATGACACCCGAAGAAAAATTAGCGGAAAAGCTGCGCTTACAAAAGATTCAAGAAGAATCAGATCTAAAGAGTGCTCTAGAAACATTCGGTGTCACAAGTATAGGCGGTGGACTCGATGCCTTCAATCCGGAGAGTAAAGAAGAATTCAAGGAGTTCGGTGCCACGCTTAGCTGGAAGGTTGCTCAATACCGAGAATCCATACACTTTCCACAATTCATAGAAGATCTAGTGCGCAGCTTATGCTGTAACTGTAAGCGATCGCAAATACATATACAATATGTGTTGATAATAATTGTAAATTCCCTCTTATAGTGAGCGCTGCTGATATTAAGAAGGTCAAAATGAGTGTGGAGAGCTTGCACTCGGAAAAGCTTAAAATGGAAAAAGCAGCTGCCAAGAAATCGGCCATGAAGGGCAAGGGAAAAGTTTCGTTGCGAACGGAAAATGATGTAGGTCGAATTGAATATCGATTATCATAATATTTATTAACTACCAATATCTCTTCTGATGCTTTTAGGATATCGATGGCTATCAAAAGTATGGCAATGATTTTACCGATGATTATGATGATTTTATGTGAATAATAGGATCGATAGTTACACGCATATAACTAATTGAATATACATATATAGTTGCTTGTTGATGTCAAAGAAGGAAAGAGGGAGAGAGAGTTGAGAGATGTTAAAGAAAATTGCGCAGGAATTAAATGTCCTTTTTTGTTGATTTTGAAAATACTGTTTAAAAAGCGCCATATTAATATAAATATATGTACATACATCAAACCGTGTGCATATATATATATTTTTATGACAACACAGTCAGACAGACACACATAGACAAACCAATATACACAAAAGCATGTAAAAAAATTATATATATAAATACTTATATATATACTAAAAAATACATATATATTTAATAGAATAACTAAAGTCAAGTCAAGCAAGCAATCAGGAAACCTCAACGAACATTTTTCACACACACACACATACACGCAGGATTAATTAGGTACACGAATGGCTTCTTGTAAATTCACTTTTGTATAATACTATAAAGCGATATTAAATTGTAAAACAAGCTCAAATGTTGTCTCTATTTACTTATTTATTTAACATTGGGGTCTTATTTTGAATTCGATTATTATCGACTTATCGGTTTAACTTTTTTAATAATATCTGCATTACGTTTGTGACGTCATTTAGCAACATTCAGCAACTCTAGCCCTGCGGACGATTTTGTAGCCCTGGCCCAGGCACGTGTAGCTTATATTCGGTTGTATACAAAACGTAAATATGAGTGTCAATGAATATATTGCTGGTACTTACAAATAGTTGTTATTTTCCATTGGAAGATTATTTTATATTATATTGGTATCTATTTATTTTAGAGGCAGCAGCTATTGAACTACCCAGCTCAGAAGATGAACCTGATACTGAACAGGCAGAGGACGCGGACGTCTGTAGCGATCAGCAGTTGGCAAACGAATTTCGTGTGCACTACATAAAGGATGAAGCATCGTTAGGCTTTGAGCAATCGTATATTCTAAGTTTAACTGCTTCTACTGATTTTACGCGACTTGCTGTAGGCCAAAATATTCCGGCTGTGAAGATCTACGATTTGAGTAAAGGAGGCGAACTAACGCAAATACAAGAGCTTGTTCCACGATCATTGCCCTTGAAGAAGAGAGGGCGAGAAGCATTTAATCGTGGTGTTCGCTTTTTGGAAGATAATGGGAATACATTGCTAGCCGGCTACTCAAATGGACAAGTGAAACTCTTCGATTTGCGCACACCTGTCGAACAAGCAACATTTATGTCTGAATTCGTACCTCCTGTGCCACCATCTATTAGATGTTTCGATCGCAATGCGAATAGTCGAATCCTGTGCTGCGGCACAAAGCTTACAACCAGTGCTTATTTACTCTTCTTTGATATAAGAAAGCGTAAAGAGCTAGGCTCCTACTGCGAAAGCCACTCGGATGATATCACTTCGGTTCGATTTCATGACACATATCCCGATTTGCTTTGCACCGGCAGCACTGATGGCCTAATAAATGTCTTTGATATCAAAGAAAGTGATGAAGATGAGGCGCTTAAAAACACAATTAATACTGAGAGCAGTGTGCACCGTCTCAATTGGCATCAGGATGCTAATAATAAGGAGGTTATCACTTGTATTACACACACAAATGATTTCAAGAGCTATGAATGCTTAGAAGGTGATGATTGGTTATCCTTTAAACGTTCTGAAATTGTTGCTGGCATAAGACGTAAAAGTCCAGCCAATTTCAATCTAATCAATGCTCACACTATGCTGGATAAGGGATTATTTTTGCTAGCGGGCACAAACTTCCATAGAGGGTAAATATCTAAATCCTTAAAGGTATATTCAGAATCTTAAAATTTCTTTTTTTTAGTGAAGTTTTGCGTTCTGTAATTGCTCCGGCCAAGGGCTTGTTGAAGCCTTTTACAAACTATGTTGGTAATAAACAGGTTGTACGCGAGAGTCTTTACGACGCCAAGCGAGATCTGCTTATCACAAGCGGCGAAACCGGCCTCATTTCCATTTGGACAAGCGATGCGAGCGACGTAAAAAGCAACGATAATTTAAGAAAAATGAGATTTGCCAAAAGTCGCAAGAGTACACCGTATTAAGTAGTCCTTAATATAAATATAATATTAAATAAATACTTTTAAGTTAAAGCAATGTCTTTTCGATTACATTTTACATTCATGCCTTTCAAATATAAACTCCGAGGCAGTCTTGTGCTAGCTCTCTTACTGTACGCACGTACCTAAGGATTAGCTTGTCAAAGAAAATAAAAATAAAAACAAGTCCACGATTAAAAGAACAAAACGAACTTTATCTCCAGGGGACACCGTTATGTCGCCCAAAGTAAAGCGCACTGCGCTAAAAATAGACACTGGTCAGCGACCAAACGCCAACAAAAACTACTACTCGCCGTTGCAAACACTAATACAACCAAACGACGAGATCGAAATCACTGATAATAATGAAGATGAGCTCGAGCAAATCAGTTCTAAAAACAAAGTGTATGTTCCCCCAATAACGGTCCTCAAATGCACAGTGGATCAAATTCATAATATCTGCAAACAAATTAATTGCACTAAATATTCCATCAAAAGATTTCAATTGGAATCAAGCTCCACTGCGTCGATATAAATGACCATAAAGCCGCGTGCAGTGTAATGCATGGAAAATTTGAATATTTCTCCTACGCCGATAAAAATGACAGGCCATACAAAGCACTGCTGTTGGGGCTAGATAAAATGGATCCCTCTTCATTAAAAAATGAGCTTATCGGTCTTGGTCTAAACTGTCTAGATGTTAAACTGGTTCAGCGAAAAAGACCAAACAACACTGTCCTAATTCTATACGTGGTCTTCTTCACCAAAAAATCCATCACACTCAATGAGCTTAGAAAAAACCACTCAGTTATCAACTATGTAAGAGTGAAGTGGGAGTATCAAAAGAAATCCAGTCACCAAATAACTCAATGCTACAACTGCCAAATGTTTGGTCATGGCTCAAACCGCTGCGCCGTGAAGTCGTATTGCTCTAACTGCGCTGGACCTCACAAAACCGCTGAATGTCCGGATGGATCTACTGTTAAATGTGCCAACTGTAATGGTTCACATAAATCCAACGACGCTAACTGCCCTAGTAGGATTAGTTACCTAAATCTAAGATCTCAATATCGGTCGCATCAAGTAAGACCCAATCGTACTAATATTTCTTTGCCACCACAGCTTGATTACTCCAATGCGTTCCCTAATACGCTAAGTAAATCAAATTTTCATTCAAGCGCCAGATGGGTTAACCATAATGGCAATCACACTCCTAATGTCAACAAGGATCTTTTCTCTTTGGAGGAGATCAAGTCCCTTACATTTGAGCTTATAAAAAACTTAAGAAACTGCAAGACCAAGGCAGACCAATTCGAATTAATAACATCATTGGCATGCAAGTTCGTACATAATGTTTGATCATCTCTCAATTATAACTTGGAACGCTAGAGGCGTTAAAAATAAGAAAGATGAGCTTTTTGCTTTCTTAAATAGAGAAAATGTAGATATCTGTCTACTAACTGAATCCTGGCTTAACAGCTCATTATCAATTAAAAACAATAATTACTTTTGTTACAGATGTGACAGATCTAGTAGAAGAGGAGGAGGGGTTGCCATTATTATTAAAAATCTATTCGCCATACCCTGCTTCCCCTCCCTAACACAAATTTAATCGAATCTATTGGCATAAATATTACCATTAACGGAACTACCTGCACTTCACTGTTTTGCTGTTATTTTGGTGGTGGTCGAGCGGACCCCCTTCAAAAACAAATCTTTACAAATGATTTGCGACTATTAACCCGCACTCCTGGAAACTTAGTGTTAGGAGGAGATTTTAATAGCCGACACAGGCTCTGGGGCTGTAACCGAGCAAATGTCTGGGGATCATTGCTGTACAACTTCTCATTATCTCGTGGACTTACAGTTCATTTCCCTAATGAACACTCTTATGTACCAGCGAGTGCTAGATATCAATCGTCTACGCTAGACTTATTTGTTTCAAACAACTGTCAACTGTTATCCAATACTATAGCAATAAATGATCTAGGCTCGGATCATCTCCCTGTCCAAACAATACTGCACTCAAATTACACTAAAGTTAAAAAATTCTTCTATGATATCAAAAACGCAAACTGGACTGTGTTTGGTAGAACAATCAACCGACTATTACCAGACTGCGACTCCTTCCCCGCTAGTTCGCAGGACGACATAGACAATTTAATAAATTTGTTTAGCTTAGTGATCGTTGCAGCTAAAGAGCACAGTATTCCTAAAAGAGAAATCAAATCTTCTCCCAAAGCTCTACCTCCTAATATAATCTCTCTAATAAAACTTAGAAACAGGCACCGTCGAAATTGGTTGAGACGCAGAAATATATGTGATCTGACTCTAGTTAGATGGTTCAGCCAACTAGTTAATATTGAATTATCCAAACTCAGAAACGAGAACTGGAATAATCTCTTATCCTCGCTAGAAAAAAATTCTTCCCCCTTTTGGAAGCTTTCAAAAGTCATCAAGAAGAAATACAGTGGAATACCCACACTCACACACAATCAGCAAAATTTCGTAAGTGCCGATAAGAAAGTCGAACTATTAGCATCATTGTTCGCCTTGAACCATTCGCACTCAGCTAACCTCGGTGATCCATCCACTAGCTCTGAGGTCAACAGTTTCACGGGGTTATTGGACTCCCTGCCTGTTGACCACGACGAATCATACCTGACAAATGTCCATGAGGTATCTTCGATTTTAAAAGAGCTTAAATCCAAGAAGACTCCAGGTCTGGATAACATTGAAAATGTGTGCCTAAAAGCCCTCCCTCGTAAAGGAGTCAAATTTCTTTCATTCCTTATTAATGAGTGCCTACGCCTCGGATATTTTCCACATAAATGGAAGATCTCTAAAGTCATTCCCATCTTAAAGGCAAACAAGCCTCCTGAATGCCCTACATCATATAGACCAATAAGTCTGCTTTCATCAGTCAGTAAAATCCTAGAGAAAGTCATTAAGAAAAGATTAGTTGACTTTACTGAAAGTAATAATGTCCTTTCGCCTCTTCAGTATGGCTTCCGTCGTGAACACAATACCATTCAACCTCTGGGTAGAATTAAAAAAATTGTCAAGGCCAATTTTAGTAGTTCCAAATCTACGGGTATGGTCTTGCTAGACATTAAAGCGGCCTTTGACTCTGTATGGCATGAAGGACTTGTGTACAAAATGAACCTCTTACATTTCCCATTGCAGATTATTAAAATAATACGCAGTTTCTTGAAAGACAGATTCTTTACAGTGTACATAGGCGATGCTCATTCACGTGCAAGTTATATTCCTGCAGGTTGCCCGCAAGGATCCTGCCTCTCCCCAATATTATATAATATCTATACATCCGACTTCCCTGCTTTAAGTGGATGCACGGCATCCATTTTCGCTGATGATACGGCAATCCTTTGCTCTGGTAAACTGGCAACCGATATCTCAGATTCTCTCCAAGCAGCCTTTAACGTTCTAGTTGCGTACTTTACTAAGTGGAAAATTCTTATAAATCCGGAAAAAACCCAAGCAATATACTTTACAAGAAATAGGAAAAATAATTATATTCCTCTACATCCTATTAATCTAAGCCAAGTAGACATTAACTGGGAGAACAATGTTAAATATCTTGGTGTCTTGTTAGACAAAAAATTAACTTTTTCTGATCACGTCCAATTTATTATTAAAAAAACAAATATATTAATTAAAGTGTTATATCCATTCATAAATAGGAACTCTCGACTAAGTTTAGAAAATAAAATGTACCTATTTAGATCAATTTTCCAGTCCACAATTTTTTACGGGGCTCCGGTTTGGGCTGATATAGCTAAGACTCATATCTGTAAAATCCAAGTCTTGCAAAACAAAATATTAAAAAGAATATTTAATCTCCCGTGGCATTACCCTACTGCGGAGCTACACTATATTGCCAGAGTCGAACTAGCGTCAGATAGATTGACTAAGTTGCACACAAATTTTGTAACCCGTTGTAGTTATTCATCTTACCTACATTTACAAAACAGTAATGAACCCTTATAAGCAATAAGCAATTAGTCTTAATTTTAATTTTAAGTTTTTAGTCTTTAAGTCAATTTACGAGGTTTTTGTTTATACTTTTCCTTCAAAAATAATGTTTCTAAATGTAATTAAATTTCCTGAACAAATAATATTAACATTTAAGCAGAAAAGGTTTATGGCCTGTACTCTTAACTTTCACATGTAAATCACTCACACTTGTGTAAATACTGATATAAAATAAAGTGTTCCTTATAAATAAATAAATGAATAAACTCCGAGGCAAATTCCGTATGATTTTAAATTTTAGTGTCAGTTGGATTTACGTTGCCAGAAGCAATAACTTATATTACGAATAAATGGTTTATGGAGTTGCCACTCCTTTAGAATTTTTTGGCTTGCATGCAAAGTCAGCTTGCTTTAGCACATACGCATGTACTAAAACGTTAAGACTGTTGCGTTTGTACATGACGTAAGGCTGTCCGTGACGTTTTCTATGAATACTCTTTTGGGGTGGTTCGGCGAAACCATTGAAAAACTTAAAAAAAAAATCGATGCGGTGTTAGAGTATATATTAAGCTTATGCTTACCTATAATTAAGAGTTGAATACTTAAAACTTATATCTTTATACAATATAAAATACCAAAAGGAAGACGGGGTATACAAGAATTATTTTAATTATTACTATTTATTTTAGAGCTACTATAAAAATCTGTATATTATATTTTTATATTGAAAAAATTTTAATATATATATTCATTTAATTTATATCTTAAAAAAACATATAATTAAAAAAAAAGTGTAAAAATAAAAATAATAATATGTCAAAATATATAATTTTATATATTTATTAAGTTTTGAATTTAAATAAATAATATAAAATAATAGAATAAACGTACATTTATTTTAAATTTAACTTTATTTAATTATAATTAAATATTCATTGTATAGCAAATATTAAAGAGTTTTAAACCAATCTTCTTATTGTTTTTATATAGATACTAATCTCCTTTCAGCCATGCTCCTGCATATTATTCCTCTCAAAAAGTCTCATCAAGATCTGCTT